TGGATAGGTCAGAACTTGAAGGAAGCTCAGCAGCAGGGGAAAAATTTGCCTCCAAATTGTTTCTTTTTGTGGAAAACGATATTGCATTTGCTAGAGCCTTTTAAAGAAGAAAAGACCTCCTCCCCTTGCACCCTCTGCTCCTAAAAAGAAGCAGAAAGATAAATTGGAGGAGTGGCCTTCATGTCCTGATTCTGAAACATTTAAATCGCCACTAACAGAATCATCTATGCAAAAAGCCATCAGAAAAAGATTAAAGGACATGACAGTAGAAGATAGACTTGCTTTTCCTATTAGACAGGTAGCTAATCCATAATTCCCAAATCAAATAATAAGACAACATGAAATGTTTGACTTTAAAATGATAAAGGCCTTGTGTGATAGCATAATACAGAATGGTGCAAATGCTCCATTTACTGGAGAAATTATGACTAACATTTTTGAAGCATTCCTAGCTCCTTATGATTGGTATTCTCTAGCACGTGCAACTCTGGATGAAGGAGATTATTTGCTCTGGAAAGGAGAATTTTTAGAGAAATGTTAAGAGCGAGCTTCTTCAAATCTCAGGCAGAATGTTCCCATAACTTTTGAGATGCTTGCAGGACAGGGACAATTTAGTGACGTTCATAATCAGCTCCAATACGTCCAGCAGGCGTATGAACAAATTAGACTTTGTGGACGTAAAGCCTGGTGCACTTTACCAGCAAAAGGGGAACCTGAACGAGCCTTTAGTAAGTGCATGCAGGGGCCCACTGAGTCATTCTCTGATTTTGTAGCTCGCCTCACTTGAGCAATGAGAAGGCAGATTCAACATGAGACGGCAGGAGACATTTTGACTCAGCAATTAGCTTATGAAAATGCAAATGCTGATTGTAAGAAATGTTTAATGCCTCTAAGAAAAAATAGTACCATTACAGAAATGATTTGAGCATGTCAGAATGTAGGGTCAGGCATTTTTCAGGCAAGCTTACTAGCTGCCACAATTACAACAAGAAACAAATTATGTTTCAATTGTGGAAAACAAGGACACTTTAAAAAGGAATGTAAGCAACCAAAAGGTGACACTCAGGGAGAAGGCATAAACATTCCTCCTCCCAACTCAGGTAATGCAGGTCTATGTCCCAGATGTAAGAAGGGGAGTCATTGGGCCAATCAATGTAGATCTAAATTTCATAGAAATGGCCAGCCATTAAATCAAGACAGGAAATGGCCAGCCGCAGAGAAATGGCTGGAGGGGCTCCCGCGAGCCCTGTTGTTAAATAAGGGGAAGTTCCACCTGCCAGGACCACAGTAGATTCCTTCCTTCAAGTCACTCCAGAAAGAAATGCTGGCTTTGATCTTAATAGCACAATAACAATCACCCTGATCCTCTATATTGCTAGACAAGTTGTTCCTACAGGAATTTGGAAATGTCAGAGTCCTAGGAGTCAGGTTTAGTTTTAGGGAGAAGTGAAAATACTCTAAGAGGACTGACTGTTTTTCCTGGAGTCATAGATTCAGACTATGAGGGAGAAATCAAGGTAATATTAGAATCCAAACATATTATACTAATTACTCCAGGACAAAGAATCACTCAGTTGCTATTACTTTATTTTCAGCAAGGTGAAGTTATAAA